GGACTTCGCTGCCAAAAGAGGCAGCTAATTTCACCACCTCCCTCGCCGGTGACTTAGCCGCTTCACAGATTCCAGAGCTGACGCCAAAGAAAATAGTTATTATTCACCGTTCAGCCCAGCCCGGTCAATCGCAAGTCTGCGTCTTCCGACCCGGCTTCTCTGAGGCATGCCTATACTACTAAGTCAACCAGTTCAAGTTTTGTTATATCGTCGACCTCCTCTCCATCGGTCATCACGTTAACTACCCCTTTACCACGGCATCGGTTTGCCGCTGCCGTCCGCCTGTCTAAACCTTGTTTGTTGTGGGGAAGTCACTTGCTCTGTGCTTAATTAACAAGTTATGTACATGGGATAACTAAGTAAGATACTGAGAAATAGATGTTGCTCCGTGCAACGAGCGGGAAACCAGGGGGGTTGCTTATCTGGCTCCTTTATAATTCCCGGTCTTCAGGGTAAAAATGAAGGGGAGGGAAAGAAGGAGAGGGTGCCACATACTGACCTGATGGATCTACCTTTTCCCACGTCAGCTAGGCGCAAACCATGGTTGAGCTGAACCGTCGATGGAAGGGCCGAACTAACAACCAGACTCCATCGATGAAATGTGGTGGCAGCGATGATACACCCAAGCTCTAAGTACATACTCAATGTTGCCTGACACGCCGTGTCCTGGTAACTGCCTATAATGCTCGCTCTCGAGATGCCTAAGTCCAACAGCACTAACAACCTCAATAACGCTGGCAGTGGGCGATTATCAGCTCCGCTCTGTGTTCGGCTGCGTAGTTACACTTCCGAGCTCGCTCGTATTAACTCTCTCTCCTGCACTCTTGGCTCATAATTAGGCAGCATGTTAGCATAGGTGAAGTATACCTGATGTACCAAATTTCGGCACCAGCATCAATCTCGTCCCAGACTCCAAGGCTAAGATATAAAAAGTCCAATATACCAGGTACTAAACTGAGTACAAATGAAACCATGCATATTATATTCAAGACTAGGAGAACATAACTAGTCGCATATCCTACCAGTGGACCACTTATTATACAGGCTGAAAGAATTTGCATGAGCAGAACATGAAACAACAGGGGAAAGGCATGACGGACATAACTACCAGAGCCAGGAGGAACATAACAACCGCATCATCACTCTTATATTATTTATTAACTTAAGAGCCTTGCTATGCGGTTCATGATCCTATCCCTTAAACGGAGTCGCTTTGCTCCTCCATTGCCCGGCGGTAGTTCGGACTTTGCCCCTTTTCTCAAGTGTTTCTGGCTTTTCCTAAACTCCTTATCCCGGGCCTTTTGTTCTTTGGCCTTTTGCTTCTCCCGGGCTTTTTCTTCCTTTTCAACCTCACGCCTCTGCTGACTGGTGAGGCGGGATATTTGGGCTTCGTCACGTTTCTGAACAGACTCCTTGGTGGCCGGGGGTTTGACGGTGCTAGAGCTTTCTACCGCCGCTTTCACCTGTTCGTCCGAAGATGCCAACGCCGGAACTTTGCCTGGGATGACGGGATCGGTAGTAATGAGCCTATCTGGTGCCTTTGCTGGGACTGCGGGTGCCGCAACTCCTAACTCTTCGGCCGTAGGCACTTCGTGTGCAGTGGTTGCCGGAGGCGCCTCCTCTTCTCCAGCGAGCTCCGTCTGGTTTGCCTTCTCTGCTGTATCGTGCTCTTCCTGCTTCATTAAAGGTACCGGAATAGGGGCAGGAACGGGAACTGGAGCGGCAGCGGGGGCTGGAGCGGGAGTTGTTTCTTTTGACGCTGCAGGTTCAGCTGGAACAGCGGAAGCTTGAGTTTGAACTGGAGCCTCAGGGACAACGGGGGCAACGGGAGCAGGAGGTTGCTCTGACACCTTTGCAGCCACAGCAGCGTAGCTAGGCTTCGGCGCTGCCGGCTCTGGTACCTTTTCTTGCGCTGGTGCCTCTGAGGCCGCTGTGTCAACAGGTTTCTCAATGATCTCCTTCTCTACAGTATCATTCTCTATAATCCGCTCGATATGCTTCCCAGGAACTCCTCCTGCTGCGGTTGGAGGCACATACTCAGTCACCTCAGAGTGTCTTCGAGTGATGTGCGCCGTGTGCCCGGGGCCCTCCTCGGTTTCTTCCTTGACCCACTCGTTTTTCTCCTTGATTCCGGAAGCGACCTGTTGCTTTGAGTCTGAGTCCACCTCAACAACAGTGTCAGCAACGTTGTCCTCCCATTTGTTTTCGGCATTATACCCTTCCTCTTTCTCGACAGCCTCGTTGCCTGAACTTGCATCTGGGCCCCTGTCAGCGGTTTCAGCCTCTCCATCGGCTGGAAAAGCGCCAATGATAGGCATTTCCGTGCGATGTGCGGCTCCGAGTGTTGAGGAATCTCTTCGGGGCGTCTCTGTGGCTCGTGTGCTTGACAGCGGCCGCTGTGACTGTGCTTCTTCCACGTATGAAGTCCTCTTGCCAAATAAGGCTGCATTGGCGGCTGCTCTGGAGGCTGCATTATGGTCATTGTGAACTCCAAGCTTGGAATCTTCCGCAGACCAAGTGGGAGAAGGAGGGCCATGTGCTCCCTGGGTGAGATTTGCGCTCGCGCCCGAGACATTCACTGGGTCTGAAGGCCCCCTTGCATGGATATTGCTGCTCGTTGCCGCAGCTCCATTATGACCTGGTTATTTTATATCCAGTAAGTATTATTGGCACATAAGTGTAACCACACTAAAAACGCACACAAACAGAACAAACTAGATCTCGGAGAGGCGCATATCAACCTTTTGAGAATGATAATGGACGAGGCTTCTCGACAGACTCCTTCTCGTCACTGGATGCACGAGCATCTGCAATTGCGGACGCCACCTGTGGCTTGCTCTCATCAATTGCAGCCGGTTTAGAAGCTGCGGGCGCCAGGCGATGCTTCCCCTTAGTCTTCTTCTTTTTCTTCCCGGTGTTCGCCTGCGTAAAATGCGATCCCTGTCCCGACATCATGTTTGCTGCTGGCAGCCGCACCTGGCGAGTCAGGTTCCCTTCAGCTTGACGGATATGCCGGGTGAAATGGATGATTCCGATTTGGGAGGGAGGCAAAAGAGGGAGGGGTGATTGAATAATACAGGCAAGATGAAAGAGGGGGCCAGGAGGTATATAGGTTAGCCGACGAGGTTGACTTACTACCGATAGCAACACCTGGCCTGGCGATGTGACGGAGCCAACTGATATTTGCAATAAATTAGGGGGTATATGGTATGTATAATTGCTGCCCACCCCCAGGCCTATATACCTTTTCATCCCTTTGTTTGCTGAACGGTAACCAAACAAAAGGCCTAGAAACAACAGGAAGGGGGCCGAAGCCGTGGTCGCAGCGTAGCTCATGTGGCGGGAGCTGGTCTGGTAGAGATGAGGTCATAAAAATCCAATCTGGCTCTTCAAAGTTGGCGTAGTATCGTCCCATGCAAGGTATCTATACAAGCTTGACAACACGATACCATGGCACAAAGAAGTACATTCATTTCAAAAAAGAGGGATTCCCTCTTTCTATGTACGCATGCAAAAAGCCGTCCCCATACTCCAACGGGGGAGGGGAAAAAAAAGCAACCAGGACGGCCGACATGGCCATTATGTACTGCTGCCACGAAGGGTCGCCGGTAAGGCCCGAGGAAGGCAGGCCTGCGTTTTGCACGGCAGCATCACAATTTTTGGCTGCAGAAGCTTTGGTCGGCTGGGATCCGTCAGCTCTGCTCTCTGCCAATAGAGGGACTGCAAGAACCGCTCGGAAACGCTGTCAACTGACCAACTGCCCATATTGTCGTAAGTGGTGGGCTGATGTCGGCAATCTTATATGTTTGGTTAATAATCGATGCAGATGCAAC